TGGATGGATGGATGGATGGATGGAGACATGGATGGATGGAGACATAGGTGGATGGATGGATGGAGACATGGATGCATGGATGGAGACATGGATGGATGGATGGATGGATGGATGGAGACATGGATGGATGGAGACATGGATGGATGGAGACATGGATGGATGGATAGAAACATGGATGGAGACATGGATGGATGGAGACATAGATGGATGGATGGATGGAGACATGGATGGATGGAGACATAGGTGGATGGATGGATGGAGACATGGATGGATGGATGTAGACATGGATGGATGGATGGAGACATGGATGGATGAATAGAGAAGTTTGCTTTGAATACTAATATGAATGAAATGCCATGTTGGGTTTGCGGTGCTCGGATGCAGTTTAGTAGCACTTTACATGTAACTTATATGTGTAACCAATGAGTTGTGGATCCGGATCACACATTCCGCCATATAGAGAAATGAATCATTGTAACTCTTCCCATCATACAGTCATGAGGTAGTGACGCCAGGACTGGGATCAGGTTCCTGACCACAATGGCAGTTGTACATTTCCCTTCAATGGCTCCCTTTAAAATGCTTGTAACCCTCAAACATAAAATAGGAACAAAGCATATCCCTCTATGGTGTGTATATGACCCAGTCCAGAGCACTAAGGCTACGTTCACACTAGCCTTGTGTGCAGGCGGCAGAGAGGCGTTTGGGATGCGTTTTTACCGCTTCCCAAACGCCTCTGCCAACTCTGCACATTACAGCACATGGTGCTGTTCTAACAGGAGCGTTTGTGTCGCGTCGCGGCAAAACGGACGCCTCTGGTCGAGTCAGGAGGCTTTGAAGCCTCCTATTCTCGTCTATGGTGCCGCTCCGCAAAAACGCCCGGCCGGCGTTTTTGCGGTGCGGTTGCGACGCGGTTTGCGGGGCGTTTGCGGAGCGGTAACACCACTCAAATGCATTATAGGCGTTTGTGGGGCGTTATTAACGCTCGGCAAACGCCTAGCAACCGCCGCTAAACCGCGCATGCGGCGTTTGCGGAGCGTTTGCCGAGCGTTAAAAACGCTCCGCAAACACCGGACCAACGCTTGCCAAACGCTATAGGGGCATTTGGCAAGCGTTGGCAAAACAGCCTAGTGTGAACGAGCCCTGAAGGTCATTTCTGTCTGCTGCCTCCTTCCTCTATTATCAGTTACTGCTGAGTCTTCCTGACACTGAGAGAAAAATGGTGACAGGGGAGGGAGCTCTAGCACACAGCCTGTGATTGACAGCCTCAGCTCTGGTCCTGTGTGCTGTGTGGAGGGGGGGGGGGGTCCCCCTTCCCTTCATTCAGCTCTCACTGAGCTCTGCAGTGTGTAACTTTAGCTCCCCACCCCCTGCTTTCTGAAAGCTCAGACAAGCTGTATAAAAGTCTGTACTCCTATAGAGGAGAGAGGGCTGCAGATAAACAGGTGCACCCACGGTAAGGATGGATCTAGAATTAGATATCCTGATTCTGGCATGTTACCTATGGGGACGCACAGCCTCCGTGCTTCCTTCTATTTCCCCGAGGTCTCACCTTGGAGGCTGCGAAATGTTAACAAGGACTAGGAACTGCCTGCGAGGATCCCGGCTGGCCCTCCATATGTTTGTACCATCAAATCCAACGGCAAACACATTTGCATATTTACACAATTAGCCGTGATGAAGCTGCACATGTGAGGATGGGTGATGGGTGAGGAATGTAATAAACCCGCAAGACGTGGAGGACGGAGAATCCCTTCCAGTGGAGGACAAACCATGAGCTCCAACGTCTCCCAGATGCTGCAACCGTCCACCTCGGATGGTGAGCAGAACGTTCTCCGACACCATCAAGCAGCTGAGAAAGTCCTTTTAGGGGAACGCCGCCATCATGAACGGACATTGTGAGGTTCATAACATTCTCTATATATCATGAGAGCGCCCAGACTCCGCTCCTCACCATATCACATCGAGCATTCCATGCTGACCCCAGAATCATCCAGATAATCCACTAATGGGGACTCCTCGTCCTGTCATTCACCTATACACCGGATATAGAATCTATCTTCTCATAGGTCTGATTTTAAAAACAGAGCGGATATACGAGGTGGTAACAAAAAGTTTGGAGTCTAGTTTTGTAACACACCAACAGGTGGCGACACAAGGCTGCACGCACAGTCACAGGGAGCACCGACCTTCATACACGAGTGTGCCGAATGACAACGTCCTCTGTACATCGGGAGCTGTGCATCTGGTGCTATTCTGACCACGTGCGTCACCACGTCTGCCATTTCATCATGGACAGCAAGTTAGAACAGAGTCAACGTGACATTCTGCGAGAAATTGGGCGAATCTGCTGCAGAGACGTCGGACACGATTTGGCAAGATTACGGCGATGCTGCAATGAGTCTTTTCGAGGGGTTTTGAGCGGCACGCATGCTTCATGAGAGGAAGACCATCACTGGAAGATGACGAGAGATCAGGAAGACCTTCAATGAGCTCAACCCCAGAAAATGTCCTCTTCCCGAAGATGAAGGTCCAGCTATGAAGAGGCCTGTAGGGGTGAGGAGAGCAAAGGATGTGCAGAGGACTCTGTCAACGTTTCTTATCAGGTGGATGTGGAACTGTTCTTCTGCCTCCTATAGAACATACGGAGTTTAGCCGCCTCCTCCCCGCCATATAGTCCAATGACGGGTGCAAGGTGGTTCTCTCGTTCTGGGAGGAGTCACATGATGTCCTCCTATTCTAACTGCGCATGCGCAGCTCCAGGAACGCACAGCGCGGCGATCGGCGGTGCGCTGTGTCCCTCAGGCACAGCGGATCACCGATCCATGGAAAGATGTCGGCTCGGTCATGTGATCAGCTGTGTCCAATCACAGCTGATCACATTTAAACAGGGAAATGCCGGTTATCTGCATTTCTCTCCGCACGAGCTGTCACGCTGACAGAGGAGAGGAGCGGAGAGCCGGTAATCGGCATTCCTCCTAGGGGACATCTACACTGATCATCAGGGCACTGATGATCAGTGTACCCTGATGATCTGTGTAGCCCCAGCAGCACCACCTGTCAGTGTACATCAGTGCCAGCTCTCAGTGCTCCTCCATGCCACCTGCCAGTGCCCATCAATGCCACATATCAGTGCCCATCTGAGCTGCCTTTCATTGTCACCCATCAATGCCAGTCAGTGCCACCTATTAGTGCCAGTCAGTGCTGCCTGTCAGTGTCGCCTATCAGTGCCCGTCAGTGCTGCCTATCAGTGCCACCTAACAGTGCCAGTCAGTGCTGCCTGTCAGTGTCGCCTATCAGTGCCCGTCAGTGCTGCCTATCAGTGCCACCTAACAGTGCCAGTCAGTGCCACCTAACAGTGCCAGTCAGTGCCGCCTATCAGTGCCAGTCAGTGCCGCCTATCAGTGCCAGTCAGTGCCGCTTATCAGTGCCGCCTATCAGTGCCATATATGAGTGCTGCCTTTCAGTGCCCATCAGTAATGCCTGTCATTGCCCATCAGTGCCACCTACCAGTGCATCCTCATCAGTGCCCATCAGTGCCACCTATCAGTGTCCATCAGTGCAGCCTATCAGTGCCCATCACTGCAGCCTCATTAGCGCACATCAGTGAAGGAGAAAAATCACTTATTTACAAAATTTTATAACAAAAACTAAGCAAAAACTTTTTTTTTTTCAAAATTTTCAGTGGTTTTTGGTTTGTTTAAGAAAAAATAAAAATCCCCGAGGTGATTAAATATCACCAAAATAAAGCTCTATCTGTCTCAAAAAAAGATAAAAATGTCATATGGGTACAGTGTTGCATGACCGCGCAATTGTCATTCAAAGTGTGACAGCGCTGAAAGCTGAAAATTGGCCTGGGCAGGAAGGGGGTGAAAGTGCCCTGTAGGCAGGAAGGGGTGTGAAAGTGTCCTGTAGGCAGGAAGGGGGTAGAAGTGTCCTGTAGGCAGGAAGGGGGTTGAAGTGTCCTGTAGGCAGGAAGGGGGTAGAAGTGTCCTGTAGGCAGGAAGGGGGTAGAAGTGCCTGTAGGCAGGAAGGGGGTAGAAGTGCCCTGTAGGCAGGAAGTGGGTAGAAGTGCCCAGGCAGGCAGGAAGGGGGTAGAAGTGTCCCGGTAGGCAGGAAGGGGTAGAAGTGCCCAGTAGGCAGGAAGGGGGTAGAAGTGTCCTGTAGGCAGGAAGGGGGGTAGAAGTGCCCAGTAGGCAGGAAGGGGGTAGAAGTGCCCTGTAGGCAGGAAGGGGGTAGAAGTGTCCTGTAGGCAGGAAGGGGGTAGAAGTGTCCGGTAGGCAGGAAGTGGGTAGAAGTGCCCGGCAGGCAGGAAGGGGGTAGAAGTGCCCTGTAGGCAGGAAGGGGGTAGAAGTGCCCGGTAGGCAGGAAGGGGGTAGAAGTGCCCTGTAGGCAGGAAGGGGGTAGAAGTGTCCCTGTAGGCAGGAAGGGGGTAGAAGTGTCCTGTAGGCAGGAAGGGGGTAGAAGTGCCCGGTAGGCAGGAAGGGGGTAGAAGTGCCCTGGTAGGCAGGAAGGGGGTAGAAGTGTCCTGTAGGCAGGAAGGGGGTAGAAGTGTCCGTAGGCAGGAAGGGGTAGAAGTGCCCGTAGGCAGGAAGGGGGTAGAAGTGCCCTGTAGGCAGGAAGGGGGTAGAAGTGCCCGGTAGGCAGGAAGGGGGTAGAAGTGCCCTGTAGGCAGGAAGGGGGTAGAAGTGCCCGTAGGCAGGAAGGGGGTAGAAGTAGAAGTGTGCCCCGGTAGGCAGGAAGGGGGTAGAAGTGTCCTGTAGGCAGGAAGGGGGTAGAAGTGCCGGTAGGCAGGAAGGGGGTAGAAGTGTCCTGTAGGCAGGAAGGGGGTAGAAGTGTCCGGTAGGCAGGAAGTGGGGTAGAAGTGTCCTGTAGGCAGGAAGGGGGTAGAAGTGTCCGTAGGCAGGAAGGGGGTAGAAGTGCCTGGTAGGCAGGAAGGGGGTGGAAGTGCCCTGTAGGCAGGAAGGGGGTAGAAGTGCCGGTAGGCAGGAAGGGGGTAGAAGTGTCCGGTAGGCAGGAAGGGGGTAGAAGTGCCGGTAGGCAGGAAGGGGGTAGAAGTGCCCGGTAGGCAGGAAGGGGTAGAAGTGTCCGGTAGGCAGGAAGGGGGTAGAAGTGCCGGTAGGCAGGAAGGGGGTAGAAGTGTCCGGTAGGCAGGAAGGGGGTAGAAGTGTCCGGTAGGCAGGAAGGGGGTAGAAGTGCCGGTAGGCAGGAAGGGGGTAGAAGTGCCGGTAGGCCAGTGGTTAAAGTCCCTTAGGTATTTTCCCGTAGTTGTCCTTCAGCCAGGCACCAAGTCACTCCTTGGGCTCAATGAACAGTCTAAGGGTGTCCTTTTCTGATGCTTTATTGTAGAAATTAAACGTGGATAGAAGTAACTTGACACTAATCTTCCTTCTTTAAAGACCTCACAAAAGTCCTTGACTGAGAAATAGTGGACTGAGCTTGGTGGCAGCAACTGAAGGATGCTGAACTGCCTCTTAAAGATCTGAGCAGAGTCCATTCATAAGTAATTCCTGGACTGAGCTTCTCAGGACACCAGACACAATGTCCTCTTCTTTGAACACATCAGAGGGGTGGTAACAGCACACAGTCTCAAGGATCTCTTACACACCTGTCTGTACTCACTAACAATAGGTGGCCTCCTTCCCATATCTTCCAGACACTTTCTCCCAGTGACACCAGACTAGATCATCAGATGAACCCCCCCCCCCCCCCATGTCTATTTCATCATTGACAGCAAGTTAGAACAAAGAACCAACGTGACATTCTGCGAGAGACCGGGCAAATCTGCCACAGAGACATCTGACACAATTCGGCAAGTTTACGCCTTTTGCTGCAATGAGTCATTCGAGGTGTTTTCAGCATCACACACGCTTGAAGAGAATCCATCGCTTGAATCCTTGCCAATGTATTAGTTTAAGCTGATCACATGACCTCTGCCTCAGGTTTCCTGTGTGGGGAGGGCTCCTTTCTCTTGAAGCATCTTATGGAGTCACCCTTGTATGCAGAGACTAGAGTTGTGTCTCCCTGCACTATGTGCATCAATAGAAACACACAGCCCCATAGCCGAGTATTGCAAGGATCTTCTCTCCTCGTCCTTTCTCCATTTTCCTGCCCCTCCATCTCCCCCCCCCCTTTCTTCCCCTGACTCTCAGACTTCCCATCCCCTCCTCATTACATGCTCCTCTTTCCACCTCTTCTCCCCTCTCTTCCCCTTCTCCTTTCATCACATGCTCCTCCCTCCTTTCCCTCTCCCTTCACCTGCTCCTTCCCCCCTCGTCCCTTGCTCCTCCCCTGCTCTTTCCTCCTCCCACATCCCTTCCCTTGCTCCTCCCTTCTTCCCCCCCTCCCTTCCCTTGCTCCACCCTCCCCTCCCCCTTTACCCTCTCTTTCCCCCCCTCCCTTCCCTACTCCTCCCCTTTACTTTCTATGCTCCTTCCCCCTCCTACTCTTTCCCCCTCTCTCTTTCCCTGCTCCTCCTTTCCCCTGCTCCTCCTATTCCTTCCTTCCCCCCTCCCTTCACCTGCCCCTCCCTCTTACTCTCCACCTCCCTTCTCCTGCTCCCCCCCCCCTCCTCCCCTCCCCTTCTCCAAGGTACCAGACTGACTGGAGCCTGCACTGCCCACCGCCGACTCCTTCCTGTGAAGAGCAAAAGTTCAGGGAAGCAGCACTGAGAGAGCATGGGCCAGCAGCACTGATAGTTGTGAACTGAAAGTGCCGGGATAAGAAGGGAATATTTATTATATTGTTCTCAATGTGTTCAAATGAAATGACGCTGAAGGTTTAATACCACTTTAAGGCTTCCTGCAGTATGTTAATTCAACATAAATATTGGAAATAAAAACGCAGTGAATTTTCCGCTGATTTTGTAACGTTTGTACTCTGTCAAGTTGAGGGTTTAAAAAAAAAAGCTGCTTTCTATAAAATCCAGATTCTGCAGAAAAGTAATGCATTCAGTGGCTCCGGCAGCGTCTACATTTACGTTCAAAAATGCATCTGCTGCCAGCGCGGTTCACGAGTTCATCGCCATTCTGCGTTCTGGGATCTCTGCAGAGACTTCTACTGAGGAAGGAAAGTCCTTCATACCGTCTACAATCAGACACAGTACAAGTCCACCTGTATGTGTGTACTTACCGTCCCAGAAGTACTCCGGTCTATGGGGTTGATTGACTGGAGACAAATAAGCTGTGCACTTTGCATTGGAATTTGCACTTTGCAGGAGGATATTCCCCGGAGCGTAGTAGATGCGGTGCAATCTCATTCTGCAAAGAATACCCAACCCAGGGCAATGGTGCTCTGCCCTGGTGCCAGCAGTTCTGCTGGGGACCCCACATCTGCTCCGGCTAACCAAAGGGGATGGAGGACGACTTCCTCCACTCCCAGACTGTGGATCTGCTGCTTTGATGGCATTCCGCTGTCACTGCCCCCCTGGTGCACAGATCCTGGCTTGGGAGGGAAGACAGTTTCCTCCACTCTGGCTGACTGTGGGGGGGGGGGGGGGGGGGGGGGCAACAACCTCCTCTCCCTTCTCCCCCTGGGCCTCTGAAACTACCACAGGTGTGGGGCAGAGGTCAACAACACCATGACCTGATGCCAGCTCTTCTGCTGGAGGCTCGCTGGCTGGTTCCTCCTCAGCAGAAAAGTCTATCAAATCCCCAGTCTCTCGAATGGCTAAATGTCCAGGGCACGGGTTGGTGGCCCCTGGGCCCAGTGCCAGCACTTTGGCAGGTGACTCATCACCCACAACATCCTCCATTGCAAAATCCATTAGATCCATACATGCTGGGATCTGTAATTGGAGGGATGAGCTGACTTCTTCATCTTCCATACCCTCCTCCAGTTGTTGGACAGACACATTCCTCCATCCAAGCTCATCCCGTGTAGAAACAGGATCGTCTAAATACGCCAGCACTTGCTGCATCCGCCATAAGACCTCCGTTTCCATAGCTGCGGGTGGTATCTGTCTCTCCTCTCCTGCTATCCGAACCTTGGATCCCGGTGGAGGTTTGGATGTGTTCACAGCCAGGAAGCACAATCCCACCGCTGCCACCAATGAAACGGATCCGGACCCTGACTGCACTCGGGTATTTCCGTTAGACTCCTGCTTCCCTGTCTGAACATTATCCACGGACACCACCGCTGACCATACAGGACGAGACAGCACCAGGCTTGAAAGACAGGAAGTAGACTGCTTTATTTTAACATAGACACAAGATATATACACAGGGCGTGGCAATACATTCAGTAACAGGAAACACATCAGCAGGCCGTCCCATCAGGGGGAAGGGCTGCCGGAAACACCCCTCCACCAAGCCAGTACAAACACATCTATCCCATAATCCTTTGCTCCCAAGTAAGACACACAATAGAACAATGGGATACACCACATGGCAGTAGACAATGAACAACCCCCACCTATACACAAACATTACATCCCATAATAGTTTGCTAGAACAATGGGATGCAGCCACATGGCAGAGAACAATGAACAACCCCCACACCAATATTAGAACATTTCACCCTGTACCCCTAACCAGCACAGGGTGACTTACACATAATGGGAACATGGGGAGCTGAGACAGGGGTCCCCCCACCCCCAAAAGTCACTCCCGTCACATCCACCAAGCCAAAAGGCCTAGCAGATCCCTCTCCTTGTGATCAGCTAAAACCAACCAAACAGTATTGGGTGAGGGGCTCTGTCGAAAAGAGACCCCCTCCAAGGCAGTGGAGGAAGGAACCTAAGGGATACACATCCTCCCCCTAGACTACAGTGTAAGCCTGAAGACCCCACGCCCTACAATCTATGAGTGAAGACCCACGCCCTACAATCCATGAGGGACAACACACACCCTATAATCCATGAGGGACGACTCACACCCCTACAATCCATGTGTGAAGACCAACGTCCTACAATCCATGAGGGACAACACACACCCTACAATCCATGAGGGATGACTCACACCCTTCAATCCATGTGTGAAGACCCACTCCTACAATCCATGAGGGACAACACACAGCCTACAATCCATGAGTGAAGACCCACGCCCTACAATCCATGAGGGATGACTCACACCCTTCAATCCATGTGTGAAGACCCACTCCCTACAATCCATGAGGGACAACACACAGCCTACAATCCATGAGTGAAGACCCACGCCCTACAATCCATGAGGGATGACTCACACTCTACAATCCATGAGGGATGACCCACATGTAGCAAACTTGCTCATCAGAGATGGACGTGGAGTTCCCCTTTTTTATTAGAAGTATTCCTCAATCCTTTATTCCCTACCCCCTCCCTTCCTGAGAGGCACAGGGACAGATGTGTAAGTGTTAAACGTTGCTGGCAGGCTGGAGCAGCAGGGGGCCTAGCGCTACAAAGCCCCCCCATAGAGACAGCAGACTCTCTGTCCCAAAACCTGTGTAACTTTGCACCTCGGGAAAAGATAACAGGGCCTTCTCAAGAGTTCAAGGCATTCCCCAGAAGCACAAAGCAGATAACATTTTTAAAAGATCCAGTTGTCACCTATGTTTCATATCATGGATTATGAAGCTGTTGGTTTTAATTCAGAGTCCGCCCGACATCCCTCCCTAAACAGGTATTGGCCAGTTACTCAGAGCCACCTCCCTTGTTGGGGGACTTTAAAAAACACAGGCTCTAGGCCTGAGCTAAGCTTAAGACATCTCCTAATTTTAACATCGTAACAGCAAGAGATCAAAGACCCTTTTCGCTCTGCAACTTGGATCTGCTTACCTTAAGGCTGAACATGGCAACTAACTTAACCTTCTAACTTCTCCCTGTTATCTCTGTGCTGAGCTGTTTTCTATGCATATATATATATATATATATATATATATATATATAGTTACATTTTCTTTGTTAATATTTTATTGCACCTGTTTGACTCTTTTAGTAATAAATCTTTCTTTCTGAAAGTGTTAAACTGTTTCTAAGCGCTTACTTGCAATTCACAAATTCCTGCCTTTTGAAGAGACGCTACTGTGTTTGTTTAATCCTCTGCCCAATCGGCCTGCAGTGACCGTATTGGACAGGCGACTTTTCAACCATTACAGTGTATATTGGATAAAGAGAGTTTCCTTTTTCTCTGTACAAAAAGTGGTGGTGGCAGTGAAGGGTTAGTTGCGTAATTAACCCGACCCAGTAACAAGCGCATTCAGACTGCAGGCACCGATTGTAGTCCATTAGCTGGAAAATTGCTGTGTAGGGTGCAGCTGGGTGTGGCCTTGTTTCGCGCGGGTCACATAGCGGTTTTAGATCGGCCGGTCCT